ACTTATAATAAAAGAATAAATCAAAAAATTTCTTGCATACTAATTAGGCTTATTTTTTTACTTCATTTCATGGTTTTCTTCTCATATTAAAGGAAAAATAAAGAAATAAATATGGACATTTCCATGCCATTTTACGCGACATTCGTACGCATAAAGTGGTGTACATTTTTGCAAAAAGGAGTTAGTAGAATAGTTTTATTTAAATTATGTTTCATCCGGACCAAAGTGCAAAGATTAATTTAAGAATTATTGACTTAATATTGAAAAAACTGGCATATTCAAAGTTCGTGTCTTTTGAGCTGAGTGCTACAAAACATGCGTCTTACAAAAGTCTTTCATATAGTTTTATCATATTTTAAATATGTCTATTATATTCAGTTCGTGTCTTTTGAGCTGAGTGCTACAAAACATGCGTCTTACAAAAGTCTTTCATATAGTTTTATCATATTTTAAATACGTCTATTATATTCAGTTTGAGATCGATTTTCTTGTTGTAAACACTAAAACTTATGTTTCGCGAATATTAGACGAATAAAACTTAATTTTCAATTCAGACGAGAAATATATTAACCCTTCTATTTGAATTTTCAAATACCTTGATTTGTTTAAAAGTTATTTTAAAAATAGTAAAATGTCAAAGAACATTCAAAGCACTTTTTCTCGAAACGACTTTTTTTGGATTATGTCATTCTTGTAGTAAATGAGCGATATGTTCATAATAAAAAATTTTTTGTCTTCACAAAAATTCAACATAAAGCTATTTTTAAAATTTTTTTAATCATCAATGAATTTCTTTATTGCCAAACAATTTATAAATTTCTGTACTTAATTTCCAATCCATTGATATATGTATGTACATTAGCAAAGAATGGTAGTTTTTAGAAAAAATTATTTTTTTTAATAGCTATCTGAGCTCTTTTGGACAATTTTTGCTAGGACCAGTAGATGAAAAGTTACACTCATTTGAATAAAATTGAAAATTTGTGTCTGGTCTACTATCCAATAGTACTAACCCAGGTGCAAATTTCATTCAAATCGAAAGACATCGATTTTAAAAGACACTTGATCACGAAATTACCCATATACATATGTATGTATGCATGAAACGTTTACGTTGTCCTTTTCACATGTAAAATTAAAAAAGAAATATTTAACATCTAATGGTAAAATTGTCTGCCTTTGATTTTTCATATATAATATGGACAAGTGACGTATACGTATAAATTAATTTTTACTGCTACATTTTTACAATTTTACTATGAGACTTCGTATCACCCACAAATTTTCCACATTCTGATCTTTTGGTACTCTTTGTGTCCCAAATATAAAATTTTTTAATTTTACAGAAGTGTCGAATATTAACCGTATTTACCAAAACTTATCCAAAATCCATTCTAAAAAATTAGGACGATAGGACTACGTTAACTGATGGCGACGGCTTTGAACGGAAATAGAATTTTTGCAAAAAAATTACCACTAAGTTTATATTCTGGAGTTTTAACAACAATTAATTGGAATATGTATACAATTATCGTTCCAATAAGATAGAAAACACAGAAATCGATTAGAAATTCGAAAAATTATTACAAATTCTTCAGATCAATCACTTAAATTATAAATGTTTAAAAAATTTTATGTCTTTCAAATTCGGTTCCAACACCTGAATATAGTACATGAAATCAAGTCAAATTGGTTTTAAACGTTTTTCCAAACCTTCATTTCGTTGGCTTGTGTTATCTTTAAAAATTCGAATATTATAATGGTGTTTGTTTTTGCAGTCTTAGTTGACGTTTTCATGGAAAAGCCCATACATAAATGTACATAAGTAAAATCAAAATTATTTTTTCTTACAAGGACTTTCTGTTTGCCTTACAACAACAAATAACAAAGACTATAAAAGAATAGTACCATAATATTGTTAAGAATTTACTTAGTGTCATTTTTGTCACTTTGTATAATGGAATAGGAACGAATAAACAAATTACTGAATAATTTAAAGAACCAAAAAATAAAACTTAAATGTAGAGATCTTCTAACTTTGTATTTTTTACACCATGTCAATCATAAGAATAACTAATTTATTAATATGCTCTAAAAAGGATTTAATGCGATTTTAATAAGCAGTAAAAAACGAATTTATTTATAAAATAGGCTCTAAAAGTAAAAGTTTTAATGATTTTTTTTAACATTGAAAAGCTGAAATGGCTAAATCCCCAAAAAATTGTTACTTCAATGAAACCGACTTATATCCTCAAGTATTTCCATTTTTAGAGAATTAAATAAGATAATTTGTACAAATTTGAATGTATGACACTTTGACTCATAGGTTTCCCGAATTAGATTATGAGATAGAGAGAGTCATATAAGTTATAAGAAATTTGTGCGAAGTCGTGAATAAGATTTTTTTTTGTAATTTTTTAATGTTAATAAAATTCTACCGGTATCAGAAAATTAGTTTTGGTATTGAATATCAGAAATTAGGCCAAAATTTTTCTATAATTAGATAATTTAATACTTTTTTTATAATCAAACACAAATCTGTAAATGAATTAATAAATTTTATGGGTCAACAAGTGTTAAAAATTGTTATGAACGAACTAAAAACTTATAATGAACTCGGTTATAACGAATCCTCGGATAAAACAGACTACTTTTTCAGTCGCTCAAGTACAGTCTTGAAATCATAATAAAATATTCAGCTTAAAAAAACGAACAAATTTTACTGGTCCCCCGAAGTTTGTTAAAAACGGGTTAGAATTTACATGTAAAATTTTTACTCAAAGTACTCACACGCTATCTGGAAACTACATATTAATCTATTTACCAAATTTTATGACGATTGTTCCATTATTGAAATAAGAATATTGTTTAAAAAAAAAAACTTTTAAATAGTATTGAAAGTAATCACTCTATAAAATTGTATAGAATGCTAACCATAATTTTAATCCCCTATGAAATTTTATATTATTGAATCCTAAACATGCCCTTATTCTTGTATGTCAGTCAGAATTTAAGGAACAATTTCAATAATTTTACGAAGATTAATTTTTTTAGTTTTATATTCACTATTAATGCATTATTCTGCATTAATTCAAAGACAAAATGTAGAAAAATAACACTTTGCTATAATTTTATTTTAGTTAAAAAAACTTAAACCAAATTAAAAATTACAGAACAAAGGAATTACAATAATATAAATTTAAATGCCGTAAAACCAATTCAGAAGATTTAAGTTGAAGCAAATGACCCTTGTCTCAAATGAGGGTTTATTTGACCTTCTTCGTCATCTTAGTTTGACACTCTCTAAAAAAATATGTATATGTATTTTGAATACCTTAAAATTAGAATGGAATGTAATAAAAGAAACACTCTTAAACAAATACTGACACAAACCTGTAGGAGGTTTGGTCCTTAAATACAAAGTTTTACGGATATGTGCAAACGTTGTTTTGAATTTAAATATTTTTATTTAATACATACATACATAGTATGTTCGTACGCGAATGTCCTCGTTATTCATGAAAGAAAACAAAAAGTAAAGAAAAGTTTGTCATAAAATATAATGGCAAAATTTGTTGCGGTTTATGAGTTTTTATTGTAATTTCCTTTAGAAACGAACGCCACAGGCGGCACTTTTAAGCTTCTCGAGAATTATATATTGAGAAAGCTGTTCACAACTTTCATTTATTCTTTTTTTATAACCTACAGTACTTTAATGAAAGCAGTATTTCGTAATGATGTTTGTAACGAAAGTGTAACATAATGATACAAAGAACTTCTATGTTGATTTAATCTCGGCCGTCCATCAAACCTAAAAAAATAATAATACATATATGACCAAAATGTCCAACTTTGACCCCCTCATGTACTTCTATGAAGATTGATAATTTTAATTCTGAATTAACAAATTTAATTTTTAATTACTTTCATTACCAATAATTTCCTAATTTTTTTTTTTACATTTGTTTAATTCATGTTTTTTTATTTACACTAGTGGTGGTATGATAAAGTAAAACGTTGTGTGAACAATACAGTTTAGCTGTACCTGCGATTTGAATTCGGCGGATTTCGGGAAAACGTACTTTTTATACCCTACATCACTTAGTGGTGTATACCCACCCACCTTAAAGTATACCAATCGGCTTAAAATCGTTTTCTGAGTTGATTTAGCTATGTCCGTCCGTATGTCTGGCCGGCTGTCCATGTAAACCTTGTGCGCAAGGTACAGGTCCCAATTTTCAAGATAATTGGATGAAATTTGTCCTTTTTGTGACCCAAGGACGAAGCCTATTGAAAATTGTTAAAATCGGTCCATTATTTCACCTAGCCAACATACAACAGAACCCCCCGAAAAGGGCTCATAATTATGTTAAATATACCTGTATATAAAAATCGGCACAACTAAGTTTTATACAAGCCTTGATGACCTAGTCAAATTTCATAAAGATCTTGCCTTATTTGACCCTAGCTCCCATACAAAGTCCCCTTCAGAAAATTACTTGAATGTCCAAAATTAACTTATAAACACAAATATCCCGATGAATTTCAGCACAAATAAATAATATATAAATATAAATATATTCACAAAACTTTATCGGGCTTGGTCCATACTTGCCCCTAGCCTCTTTCAGAAAATTTGTTTTTCATCCATAAATTGCTTAAATGTATCGGAACAATGAAAAATAAATCACATTTAATATTTATAACTGGTGTAGGGTATCATATGGTCGGTCACGCCCGACTATACTTTTTTACTTGTTTGTAATATTTTAGAGAATACGTCTTAATTCTTTATTGTTGTATATTTTAAATAAAGTATTTTCAGGGAAATACAGTTTAAAAAATTCTCTAATGTATATATAAATAGTATATCCCTATCACCACTGACGGTAATGGCATAAAACAATAACAAATTTAAATGTAAACAACTGTTTACATAAAACTACATCATTGATCTAATTCGTCTTGCTTGTTTTTAGAATCATTTCAAAAAATTAATCGGGCTATATACGACTATAAAATTTTTCATCCGTATTTTAACTCAATGTGTTAAAATACGGATGATCTAAAAAATCGATACATACCTTACTCCTACAACTAATTTCGTCAAAAAATAAAACATTGATACAACAGTGTTACCAAAAATACAGGGTTGTTGTTAATTTACAGTTACCATGGAAATGCACAAATTAGTCATAACATTTTTGTCTAGTATGATTTCAGTCAAAACAAAAGATTTTACAGACATACAAAATGGTAATTTAAAAAATGTTTAATAAAGCTGTGTTTTAATGATTTTTTTTATTATTTTAGATATTATCGAGAGGTAAAAACGACTCTGCCCACACTCGTCCAGTTCTCAGTGGGACAAGTTCAAATTCGAAGAAGAAATCGCCTTCTCTAGAGGATTTTATTATTAAACGTGACTATACAGGAGCTCGAGCATTTCTGGAATTTTCTCATGACCCAGAAGAAGAAGAGGACAAAGATATTTCAATTGATCAATGGATTGCCTTTTGTTATTTCCATTTGGGAGATTACCAAAAGTCATTGGACATGTATAGACATATATTCCATATTGAACCTGCAACGGAGGACATTAACTTAAATATGGCAGTTTGCATGTTCTACTTGGGCATGTACGACGATGCTCAAAAGCTGGTAGAACAAATACCAAACACTTCTTTAAAATTGCGGTTAATGTTCCATTTGGCCCACAAATTCAGCAATGAAGACCAAGTAATGCAATTACATGATTCCTTACAGGACAATGTCCAAGACCAATTAAGTGTTGCATCGTTGCATTACTTAAGGGCACATTATCAGGAGGCAATTGATATTTATAAACGTCTATTACTAGATAACAAGTACGTATAAAATAATATAATGTATTAATATTTAAATTCAATAAATAGTATGGCCTTGGCTAGATTGATGAACAAAAATGAAATTTTAAAGTAGCTTAAAATTTCCAGTAGCTATGTCGACACATACATACATACATATGTATTTCTATTGATACATACTTAAATATATCCGCTTAACCCAATACATACTTACATATTTCTGCTTAGCTTTTTATGGAAAACGTCCACTATTGCAGGTTTTGCCATTTTTTTCAAATCGATCATTTACTACAAGTCTGGCATAATCTAAAATGGAACAAAATATAACTTTTTAAAAAATAATAGAATTTAAAAAGGAGACCAGATTAAATAGAAAAAGTCAATACGCTTTTCAACTAAATTTAAATAAAAATATTCGTAAAGACACGACTTTTTGTCTTATGTGCTGTTTCTAGATAACGAGCGAGTAGTTTGAGTACAAATTTTACTTGTATTTTATTATTGTAACAAAAACAAAATACAAGTAAAATTTGTACTCAAACTACTCACACTTTATCTAGAAACAATACATTAATTTTTAAAACAAAATATCCCTATCGGACCGAAAAAACTGAAATTTTTAAATATAGATAAGACAAAATGAAACGGTGCATATTTTTTATTATTCAGATAAAAAAACCCTAATTTTGAATTATGTTCATATGGATTTCAATATTGACCGTGTAAAATTTGAGGATTCTAGCACTAATGGTTTCCTAAAAAGTTTCTCAGATATACGTTTTTTAAATTTATATAGATGGTACCACGCCTCCTTTTTTTAGACCGCCTTTTTATTATATATTCATATTGTTACTAAAAAATTAAGGACTCTAACTGATATATTTCCTCAGATATACAAATTTAATATTTTTCTTACGCCCGTTATATCCAATCCGCCCATTTCGGTACAGCCGTTGGGCAGTCTATAAAGGTCAAACAAACAATTATACTAAAATTCCAACACGAATTATTTTTTACATACATATGTATGTATCGTCACCTGAAATGCAACAAAGCGTAACAACCAAACATTTTTAAATCAAATACATGTAGTCTCCGATTTTATTGACATGAAATTGAAAAGGGCGTAACAACAAATTTGTCATTTCCACAAGTCAAAAAGTCCTAAAAAGCAAAAAAATTGGCAATGTCTCGCGGTACAGTCATATTGAAATCAGCATATTGATGTTTGGATATAAGTCTTGTTTATAGCAACAATTGTTTTCATTTTATTTAGAGATTATGTAGCAGTCAATGTTTACTTGGCTCTTTGTTTTTACAAACTGGACTATTATGACATGTCACAAGAAGTTTTAGAAGTTTATCTTAATAAATATCCCGATAGTACTATTGCCATTAACCTCAAAGCATGCAATAGATTTCGTCTTTTTAACGGACGAGTGGCAGAACAGGAAATTAAAAATATTGTCGACAATGGAACTTTCGGAGCAGATCTCATTAAACACAACTTGGTTGTGTTTAGAAATGGCGAAGGGGCTTTGCAGGTTTTTCCAGGTCTTTTGGATATTGTCCCAGAAGCCAGACTTAATTTGGCAATATTTTATTTAAAGAATGGCGACGTACAAGAAGCTCATTCTTTGATGAAGGAAATACAACCTAGTGTACCGCACGAGTACATTTTAAAAGGGGTGGTGCATGCAGCACTCGGACAGCAACAGTGTTCGGTATGTACTTAATATCATTATTAACATCTGCAATAAATATAACTAATACAAATACATACATATATACGTAGAAGGAGCACATCAAAACAGCCCAGCAAAACCTTCACCTTGTGGGAAGTTCAGCAACTGAATGTGATACAATACCTGGCAGGCAGAGCATGGCTTCTGCTTTCTTCTTATATGGCCAATTTGAGGAAGTCTTGGTTTACATGAATTCAATACGCAGTTACTTTGTTAATGATGATGTATTCAACTACAACTTTGCACAAGCAAAATGTGCCACTGGGTACTACAAGGAAGCTGAAGAATTGCTAATGCAAATAACAGATACCGACATTAAAAATCAACACACATACTGCATGGTTTTGGCCAAATGTCACATTCATTCCGGTCGACCAGAATTGGTATGTTTAAGGTACAAAAACAACAAATCTCTTTTACAATCAATATTTCTTTTAAGGCCTGGAATACTTTTCTCACGAGGGATACTAACTCTGAATCGTTTATATTACTCCAACTGATCGCTAATGAATGCTATAAGTGTGAGGAGTTTTGGGTTTCAGCAAAAGCGTTCGACATGTTGGAAAAGTAAGCTAACATTGTCCAAAATTAACTAAATGTCGAAGTTAATCTCTCTTCATTTAATTATAGACTAGATCCTAGTCCGGAAAACTGGGAAGGCAAACGTGGGGCTTGCGCTGGAGTATTATACAGTTTAGCTAATAAGACTGAAAGGGGGCGGCCTAACAATGGCGTAACTGATGTCATTTCTCTCCTTAGAGATTCTCAGAATACCCAAGCCGAGTCCATGATAAAGGCAATACGGAAACATATGACATCTTTCAAATAAACATCAATATAATAAACAAAAATATACATCCTGCTTGTTCAGTTTTACTTGTATAAATGAATTTCTTAATACGCTTAATACGTACATATGTATACGAAAATTAAATATCCTTAAAGCAAATCTTTGTGCAAAATGTTCATTTGATTATTTACACTCAAACAAATAAATAAGAAAAATAATAGATGAAAAGAAAATAACTACAATGTGATTATATTAGACCTCCTCTTTTCATTGTTTCTCGATTTTCAAAAGTATTATGTATTTATTTGCCGGTCTTGCTCCCTAGAAATTCATTCAAATGATCAAGGTGTGTTAGTACTTCATTCACTATTGTAATCATTATTTGTCAAATAAATGGATAAATAAACAAACAACTAAATAAATAAAACACTTCAATGACTGGAAAATAACGGTATGACAGCATAGAAAAAAGTCCTGGCTTGCAACACAGAAAAATTTTATGTATGTAAGTATCTACTAATGTATATTAGGGTTGCCCCTTTTGTATGGAGAATATTCATGGTACTGAATAAAAGAATAAAAAAAATCTTTTTTAATGGTTTTTCATGTTTTACGCAAAGGAATGATATGAAATTTCATCATATGAAAGGTCTTTGAGAAGCGCTTTATTTGTGTTAGTTTTAAAATGTTGAAAAATATATATTTTTCGGAAATATTTTAAATTTGAACATAGATTTATTTAACATAAATTTTACCGAAATGTTTTTGTCCATTTTTCGAAATTCAATATAAATACAGTAGATAAAAATTTATTTAAATTTGTCCAAATTTTTCAACGTTCATCCCAAAAAAATGGCTTAATAATTAAAAAAAACATTATAAATCTTATTTACATAGAAGCACGACAACTAATACTTTTTTGGGTGAAATTGTCTAAATTAATTTTTCTACAATCCAGTGAAATCTGAAAAAGCTACTTTCTAACATCGAAAAAAAATCATAACAACGTGAGAAAATAACCTTTTTATCAATTGAATTAGCTCAACAAATATTAAGAAATGATGATTGAGTATGACCTAAAATTAAACTTTCAGCAGAAACAGCATCTTCCATTTCAGGGCCACCCTATTGTACATACTTATGTTAAAAACAGCACCCGAAGAGTGAAGCTTTCAAGAAGGTTTTGTTCGTTGAAGTGAATGGATGATGTTTGTATTTATTTCCGTTTTGCGTCTTTATGCCAGCCAACTGCTATTACAAGAATTTCTGAAGTAATCATCATTTGTAAAAATAAATACATATCGTTCATTTACTTCAATAGTGTCATAGTTCTTAGTTTAGATTTTTTAAATAACATGTCACCTCCGTGCTAATGTTTTCATAACATGAAATTTTTTCTCAAAGTGAAGTGAAATTAATTAGGTTCAGTTGTATGAGGACTTTGTTAAATAATGGACCGATTTAAAAAATTTTCGATAGGCTTCGTCCCTGGGACGATGGAAGATCAAGTACCAAACTTAATTGAATTATATTCAAAATTGCGATAGAAAATGATTTAAGGCCGATTGGTATACTTTAAGGTAGATGTAGGATCATATTATTGTGCGTTACAAACATCAGCACAAACCTGCTATATATAGGTTTTATTAGCATTTAAACTTACTACTTTTCAATTTAAGTTTTTCCTACGACACTATGGATAAGTTGTTATTTTATGAAAATTATGTACAAAATGTCGTACAAAGTCCCATGTAATGCAGTCATGGACCTTCTTCAAATTTTAAAACAACATTTAAAAAATCTCTGCCTGTATTATATAGGTCCATGTTCTGAATACTAAAATGGATCATGTACTCGTATAATTTTTGCGAGGGGGTAGTTTTGGGACTTGTTTCATATATTTGGGATAATTTTCGATTGGCTCTAGTGTTTTCTGAAGTACTCTTTACGCTGTTGTGTTGAGTAGCTACAGTTTTTGCATGGTTAAAAGTAAAAAATAGATTTGTAAAAGGTACATAAAAGTTGTAGTTTATTTTACAAAATGAAAAAACTATTAATTTGCATGATTATCGTTTCCTGCATAATTCAGTTTAAGAAAATTGTCGCTTTACTTGCTATACAGAAAGTAAAAAAGATATTTAAAAAAAATAAAAATACTTTGTTCGCTGCAGAGGTTAAAAAGATTGTGCAAACAAGTTTGTACTTTTGTATGTATGTATGCATGTCGATGAAAAAACACCTTCCCACAATTACCCTGTAGTTTCAATTGTAGAATTTTGTCATTATTCACTAGATTCACTTACTCCACTGTATCTGTTTTCACGCACCTTCGATTCCGGTTTTATTATTTCATGAATATTCAATGAAAAAATTAAAAATCAGAATGTATTAGATTTTTATTTTTTTACAATAAATTTAGAATTTATCAATTTACTAATCTATACATAAATTTCGGAGCAGTGAATTTACATGGACATTCACAGACAGATACATGTAAATTTGCCGTGCTTTAAAGATATGAGGAGCGATAATTTATTCCAGGCATCAAATTCATCGAATATTGAAACTTGTATGTACTAAATATTACCTGTCGGGGTAGTTGTTAATACATGTTGAAAGTTTCTTGCTTTTGGGTTCCAGTCACTATACATATATGTATGTGTACTATTATTGTAGGTGCACCAACATAAAATAAACAAACTTTTAAATTCCATTAAGTGCTATAAATTTTGTAACTGATAAAGCGCTCTGATACAAAGTTAAGGTTGTCTCGCCTGATGTTTATTTTACAAAAAATTGCATTTTTAGCCATATATGTAAACACAGTCACATTTTACATTGTACATGTTTAAAATTAAACTAAATTATAAATGCGAACTTTTTATGATAATTTTAAAATTTTTGCAAAATTTTAATTTCTTTTTCTTTGTATTTTTAACTAAAGACGTGATGCAAAAATTTTAACTTTATGTATGTATGTAAATGTTGTATGTGAGATTGTATGAGATTAGATTTCAATGACAAATATCTACTTATATGCACATCCTGTTTCCGTTGTACTAAGCATCATCTGAACTATCAATGAACATAGTAAGCAACAACTAACCGGTATTGATTTCAATCATAAGTGCATTTCTCCATAATTGCTATAAGGAAACATGTTTTGAATAATTAATGATCTCAGGGGTGTAGTTATTATGTCATTACGATTGGACGAAATATCAATTTAACCTTAAATTCATACGCACATGTATTTATATTTAGATTAGTAATATAACGTTTATATATTTTTTAAAATTTTAAAATATTTAGGCTCTATCCAGGATGCACTACTTATTACATCACGGCTCTATCCGTATTAATTATTCGACAAACTATTAACTTAATCGGTTAATAAACGGATAATTAAAAAATAATCAGTTAATCCAGCAGTTGATTTAAATAATATTTACTATATATTGTTACTTTCACAACAAATTTTATTTTTCCATATAATTGAGTAGTTAGATAGGATGTACTACTTATTACATCACGGCTCTCTATAGATAGATAGATAGATAGATAGATAGATAGATAGATAGATAGATAGATAGATAGATAGATAGATAGATAGATAGATAGATAGATAGATTTCGTAACATCTTTTTTCGTATACATATATTAAGGTAATTTGTTAGGCATGTGACATTTAACTAAAGTCAAGAAATTGTTTCATAGCCCCCTGTCTATGGAAGATAATTTGTTCTAAACGTCAAATTGTTGTCCAGATACAAAATTATCAGGTTAATACCACATTTATAAGCGTTATAACATTGTGAAGACATTGTTAGACACGTCATTTAATTGTAAAAATTTATAAATTTTGTTGTTTTGTTTTTGTAAAATAAATCAGATGAGAGTATATTTTTTATTTTACGAAAGAAAATAACTTTATTAAGATTATTTTTATTTTTGTAAATTTAAACGAAATTACATACATATGTATATTACAAACGTTTTTTATAATATTTAAGAAAAAAGATTAATACGGGAATTATTTTCATAACATAAAAGACAAAAATATTTTTAAATGAACTAACATATTTCGTAAAATAATCTAATTTTTTTCTAAAATTATTCTAAAATGTTTCGTACATATTACGAAACAATTTCGTGGTGCGAAACCATTTCATACACTGTACGAAAGTTTTCGTATATATAAGGCATGGTAAAGTTCCTTAATAATATACGAATAAATATAATTAAAGCTTTTTAAGAGATTTGATAAATATTATATATATATGTATGTTTTAGGGGGCCAATCCCGAAAATCCCGGGATTTGCAAATTAAATCCAGGGATTTTTTCGGGTTTACAATATCCCGAAACCCGGGATTTGTTTCAAATATTTTTTTTTTTTTTGTTTTTTTTAGCCATAATTTTCATTAATTTTTCATTCCAAACACATAGCACATATAAATTGATTTAGTCACTTCGTTTTTAACACATCGAAATGTTGGGCGTAGACCCAAAAATGTACATATTCTATGTCTGTTAGTTGAAAAAAAAGCTAGAACCCTCATTCTATTTAGGCTGCAAGAAAACCTAGGACCTCTTCTAAAAACCACATTCATGCTCATATTAATATCAATACAGTATAATATTTTGATTGTGAGGTATTTAATTTCGGCACCTTCAAATACAAACTTTATTTTTCAATACTAGAAGATTTAGCATTTCAAACTTTCTACAAATCTGAGTGATACCGATAAAGGTAAATTACCTTTACTATTTACGAATATGTTATATTCCAAAACTAATATATAGTTTGTACCGACAAAATTCCAAATATTTTTGAATTGAATTGTTCACATGGAACAGTATTCGATTTTAAAAAGTATTTACGTTTAATTTCGGAACTTGATATTTAATTTTTATTTAGGAAGTGTGTAGTTAAAAAGTTTCAGAAATTATGAAATTCTAAAAGTTTTTATTTAAAAATTGTAATTAATTGGATTGTTTTAAATTAAATATATCTTATGTCTGCTAAATTTCCTCAAAATTAAACAATTTTCTTTACAAACATGAAGATTTAAAGATTTTCATATATAACATAATTAAATATATGTAATCCCAAAGTGCCGCAAAATCCCGGGATTGCAATTTTCAAAATCCCGAATCCCGGAATTTGTAAAAGACAGTCTCGTTTGACTTCCCTAATATGTATTAGGGTGATCGACTCGATTTTTCAACCGGTTTTAAAACCGGTTTTTTCTGCTTTACCAGTATCTGTTTTTTCTAAATGTTTTCGAATATCGAATAACCCGGTTTTTTCA